TTCACATACATAATACTGGGGGGAGGAAAAGGCAATCAACACAATGATAAGGCAACCTACTGAATGAAAGAAAATAAGTGCAAATCATATAACTCATAAAAGGTTAATATCCAAAATATATAAAGAACTCATACAACTCAGTAGCGCCCCCTCCAAAAAAAAATCTGCTTAAAACATGGGCAGAGGATCAGCACATTTTTCCAAAGACAACATACAGATGACCAACAGGTACATGAAAAGATGCTCAACATGACTAATCATCAGGAAAATGCAAATCAAAACCACAATGAGATATCACCTCATACTTGTTGGAATGGCTATTATCAAAAGGACAAGAAATGACAACTGATGGAGAGGATGTGGAAAAAGGGAGTCCTTGTGCACTGTTGGTGGGAATATAAATTTGTACAGCTATTGTGGAAAACACTATGGAGATTCCTGCAAAAAATGGAAAATAGAGCTACCATATGGCCCAGGAATTTCACCTCTGGGTATTTATCTGAAGGAAATGAAATCACTATCTTGAAGAGGTATCTGCACCCCATGTTCACTACAGCATTGTTCATAATAGCCAAGACATGGAAACAACTTAAGTTGTTTAAAAGGGAAAAAATTAAACAAGCACTATTTCTTTACAAACTACAACAGTCAAGCAAAGGTTTAAAAAAAAAGACTGTTAATGCTCAGGATTACAGTGCACTTAATTGTACACTTAAATCATATTACTTGGAATGATGCAAAAGCAGATAATCTATTACTGTGGAGCCACAGTTGTTAGCATTAGGAGTCAGGAGAAAACAAGAGCAACAGCCATAATGAAGGCAGATGAGCTATGTCACGTCTATTTCACACTAATTGAAAGCTATTGCTTTCAGCTTATTTGTTTAAGCCCGCCTCATGGGTTCTGTACTTTCCTTTCAACCTTCCATACCCACAACTGAAGAGCAGGAATTTTTACATCCTGGGACACTGGATTTTCAGTCCTAAAATCAGGACAGCTCCAGGCAACCTAAAACGGCTGGTCACTCTGAATCAATACAGTCTTTTTCCACCCTCCTCAAAACTTCTCAGCTGTACTTATCCTTGATCTTTCTTAACCGAGTTTGTCCTCTCAACCACAGTCTTGACCCCCAGCCCTTGACCTCAGCAATGTTTCCCTCGACTCCTCCTTAATCTCAACCTCTCAACCCTTGTAAGAGCTGTCAGCCTCAACCAATCTTACCTTCTCAATTCCTCTCAAATTTAATCCACCTTACCCTCTCAACCTTATTTGAACTCAACCTCACCTAAACACTGACTCTTGACTTCATCTGAGTCTGACTTCTCAACATCAACCAACTTGGACATCTCAGTCTCAGTAGGTCTTGTTCTCTGATCCTTCTCACCTCAACTTTGTCCTCTCAGCCTCCTTCCATAGACCTTGACCAATCTCATCCTCTTAATTTCAATCAGCCTCATTTCTCCCACCTTTGTTCTCTTTACTTCGACCCCCTCGTCTAGACCTCTTCTGTTATTGCAATCTCCCTCACTCTCTCTTGCTACAAAAATTTACCCAGTCCTCAAAAGCAAAGCCTCAAGTCATCTGATATTTATTCAGATTTTAATATTATATCACTATCAATTTGCTGCTAAAAATTTTTCTGGAACCCGTTCATTTCTATCTTCATTGCAAATGTTTTATTTCAGATTCCATTATTGTTCATCTATACTCTACTGCCAAAGTGTCTTAACAGGTCTCTGCATCTCCACTTGAAACAATCTCCTCCCTCCTATCTTGCTCCCCCAATCTCCCCTCTATGTTAGCCACTCTGTGTTATATAATACTAATCATTTCCATCATTTAGCTAACTCTTACTCATTCTTAACCTTAATTCAAAGGTTGATACCTCTAGCAGACCTTCTCTGATACCCCTTTGCCAAGTCTAAACCGTATGCTTCTCCTTGAAGTTCTAGTAATGTTTTATGCAGAGTTCTAATACAGCATTTCACTGGGCATTGTTATATTGTATGTTTGGATACATTTTTATATTAGATGTCTCCCAGCCTTGATGATGCTATAAACTTTATAAGAACCAGTTTCTTGAATCTTTATCTGTAGGATCTAACATATGATAAACACATGACAAATATTCAATTATTTTTCAAATATGTACATGCCATCCCATTTCTAAAAGTCAGATTATTATAACTTTCATCTTAAAGCAAAAGGGAAAAAATTCCTTAATAAAATAATTGGAATGCTAACAGAAACGTTAAAACTCAGTTATAATTGCTCTATTCCCTCATAGAAAGTATATATTCCTTTTAAATTTACTATTTTTTCTAATACCTACTGTCTTTAAGACTAGCTAGGGCTTCCCCAGTGGTGCAGTGGTTGGCGGTCCGCCTGCCGGTGCAGGGGACGCGGGTTCGTGCCCCGGTCCGGGGGGATCCCACATGCCGCGGGGCGGCTGGGTGCATGAGCCATGGCCGCTGGGCCTTTGCGTCCGGAGCCTGTGCTCCGCGGCGGGAGGGGCCGCAGCGGTGAGAGGCCAGCGTACCGCAAGAAATAATAAGAAGAAGACGACTAGCTAGCGTTGGTATTTCTCTTAAACCATAAAATTAACTGAAAAAATTGAATAGGTCTTTAATACTCTCCCACCAACGTTACTGAGGTCTGCTAATGAAATACACCTGACCCTTGAAAACACGAGTTTGAACCTCGAGGGTCCACTTATACAAGGATTTTCCTCAATAAATAACAGTTGGCCCGCCATGCCATATCTGCGAGTTCTGCATCCATGGATTCAACCAACTGCAGATCGTGTAGTACTGTAGTATTTATTGAAAAAAATCTGGGTATCAGTGGACCATCACAGTTCAAACCCCTGTTGTTCAAGGGTCACCTGTACTCAGGAAAAAACCCTCAAATATCAGAGGTGTGCCACAAACAAAAGCTACATACTTCTGAATGAATGAACCAGAATTGGTCTGTAACAACAGACCTGAATTTGACAGTAATTGTGTAATCATAGAGGTGGGAATCCTAGTTCTAGCCCTAAATAGCCACATGGCCTTAAGCAAGTTACTTAAGCTCTCTGAGACTCAGATTCCTCACCTGTAAAAATAAAGACAGTCATATATCTACGCAGGAACCACTACAGTCCTACCACAAATGCATACGCGTTAAAAGGATCGCTATGAAAAGACAGGTATCACTATAATGAAAGATAATTTTCCTTTCTTTTAGTATTAGTTACTAAAGATACACATCAATATAACTTATAATTTACTGGTATTAATACAAAATAGCTAATTTACAATTAGAATAATAAAATGGAGTGAAATTATCGTCCCCTGTTCTTTAGTCCCTTCTAGATCCTAAAAATGGCTACATCAGAGCATATTTTATGGGAAAAAGCTAACAGAACTGCAAAGTTTCTAGTGAGTGAGGAGAAAGATAACTAAATTCTATACATTTCATGATTCACTTCCATGTGATCATTAATGTTATTTTAAAGAGTAAGAAAGAGCCCAAAGATCATATATCAAGCAAGATAAAACTCAGACTGCTTAGTATATTGAGTATACATGATATCATCTCACACCTGTCAGGATGGCTACCATCAAAATAACACAACAAATGTTGGTGAGGATGTGGAGAAAAGGGAACCCCCCTACACGGTTGGTGGGAATGTAAATTGGTGCAGCCACTGTGGAAAACAGTATGGAGGGCTCTCAAAAAACTAAAAATAGAACTACAATATGACCCCAAAATTCCACTCCTGTGTATAACAAAAACACTGATTCAAAAAGATACATGCACCCCAATGTTCATAGCAGCATCACTTACAGTTGCCAAGATATGGGAGCAACCTAAGTGTCCATCAACAGATGAATGGATAAAGAAGATGTGTGTCAGACCTACTAGAGCATGGACTTGAGGATCTGGGGAGGGGGAAGGGTAAGCTGTGACAAAGTGAGAGAGTGGCATGGACA